ACAAGAGATGAATACAAAGCCATGTAAAGTTAAAAGAGGTTCAACTTTTAGAAAACATGTCTGGAGAATTTGTGGGGATTATGTTCCATTCCACTGAGTCTCATATGTTTTTAAATGCAATCGTGTAATCGGCGCTTTGGCTATTTGTATTAAGCTACGCATAAATACATGATGCAGTTTTTGTTTATGCAATTTACGAAATTATATTTGATTTATGTTTAAATGTTATGTACTTTTTTTATTGACATTGAATTTAACAATTTAATACGGTGCATTATTTTGCTCATTGCGACCTCCTGTGGAGACAGACCAAATCTTTCCTTAACACTTATTTAATCTGCATATAATATATATAAAAAAAATAGATATTCATTGAAATTGTATTTTGTGTTTGACTGTTAAAACTAAAATGATTTGTTGTTTGTCTTAATACATTGGGTAAAAAATACAGTGGTTAATAAAAAAAAATCTACTGCTCTTTGTTTAAAAAAGATTATTAAAAAATGACAATAATTATTGATACCGATATGATATGAAATTGTGATCATTTTTTTGGCTATAAAGTATCAAGTATACACCCTCAAGTATAGCCTATACTTGAGGGTGAGTAAATGATGACAAAATTTAAATTTTTGGGTGAACTATCCCCTTAGGATAATCATCAGCGGTTATTTATCCTGAAAACATTTCATTTTAATTTGGCATTTGCGTTATCTTGCACTAGTAATAAGACTCCACAAGCTTTCATAGTTGCGGTTGCCAGATTTCAAGAGCTTAAATCCCCCAATCAGAGCTTTTTTCATATTGATAATGAAAACTGGCAACCATGCACACACATTCTCTCTACATTACAGAAAAAGCGCTGATGAGCTGAAAACACTGGCAAACATGTAAGTTGGAGTTTAACGATCTCCATTGAGATATTCTTCTCAAATACAAGCGTAATACAGCCAGTCAGCTTTCTTTCACGCAGCCATTTTGCGCTGTTTGCAGCGACTTGATCCGTGAGCAAACCACGCGAGTTGAAATTCTCTTGATTAGTGCTTAAATTAAAGTGCAATAATGTAAAAAAAATCTATAAAAATAATAATAAAATGAAAGTATTTCGTGATTATATTTTTTTAAGCAAAATCGTGATTAACCAGTTATCGTGCAGCCCTACATAAATGTGAAACATTTTGAGAGGTGCCACTAGCTACTCTAGTCCAAACTACTACCCACAGCACTAATATGGAGCAGCATGAGAACGAGAGTGAACCGCTGTGGTTTACTACCTGTCCACGCTATTGTAAGCCCCGTCTGAGAAGGCACGGGCCATCCTAGTGGAGCGCAGTAACCTGACCGCGTCCTCCCGATAGAGGGGGTGCATACTATGAGTCAGAACAGAAAGTGAGAGTGCAGTGGTTAGAGTCGGGTTGGGTAAGTTGGCCTTATCTAGGTGATAAAGTGGCGGAGCTCTTAAACTCTCTTTATCCGGCACTTCCAGGCACAGGTGAAGATCGCTCGAAGCACAAAAGCAGAAATCAAGTAACTTTGGGTCAAGAGAACTGGCAGATATGCTAAGCAATCAAAACTATCATGTTGCAGCACACACCAGCAGCAACAAATATTTGTTCATCCCACAGAAGTGCAGATGTAGCTCTTTTTTCAGTGGCGAGAATTAAAAATGTGCAAGTGCGACTACTTGTGTACAGTACTATTGCACACTAGATAATACTAGCATACAGTGTTGGGGGTAGCATGAGTTACGTAATCAGATTACTTTTTCAAGTAACTAGTAAAGTAACACATTACTTTTTAATTTACAATAAAAAATCTGAGTTACTTTTTCAAATAAGCAACGCCAGTTACTTTGTTTTCCCATTTATTCACTGACTCCTCTCCTGTCCCCATGATGAGAGAAATTAAAGGTGAGGTGCAGAGGCACTTCCTTCAGCCTGAGGCTTATTAATTTCACTTTTGGTGTGAAAGGGCCTTTACAGTTGCTAAAAATATAACTTTTGGGTGTTTTGCTATTAAAATTCGCCAAGTAATGCAAAGGTATCGTTCCTTAAAGAGTAACTAAGTAACGCAATATTGTAATGCATTACTTTTAACTTTCCCCAACACAGCTAGCAAGTGCACAACACTACTGTGCTTTTTAAAAGAATTCACCAAACAGTTGTGTGTGTGTGTGTGTGAGAGAGAGAGACAGAGAGAGAGAGAGAGATAGCGATATATAGATAGATAGATATCTTCTAGTATTCTAGTCATCTATATATAATACTAGAAGATCATTATAGATTGCAACTCTATTTGCTCTAAGCAAATTAAAGGTCAAAGTATGGTTTGGTTTCATACAGTATTTCGTCATCAGAATAGTCGAACACAATAGTACTGATCTGCACGATTTGTGAAAAGTGAATCAGGCACAATTCATTCTCGGTGAATTCCCCCTGCCAGTTTCAATACAAGTTTTGCTCTTTGGCCACTGAAAATTACAGTACCATTGAAAAGTATGGGGTCAAGAAATTAATACTGTTATTCAGCATTGATGCATTACATAGATTAAAGTGACAGGAAATACATTTACATTGTTACAGAGATTACTATTTTAAAAAATGCTGTTCTTTTGAACTATCTATTCATCAATCTTGAAAATACATCACGATTTCCACAAAAATATTAAGCAGGACAATTATGTTACAAATAATGTTATTTCAAATAAATGCTGCTCTTTTGAACTTAATTCATCAAAAGATCCTGAAAAAGTGTATCATTGTTTCCACAAAAATATTAAGTAGCACAACTGTTTTCAACATAGATGATAATAATAATAATGAGAAATGTTTCTTGAGCAGCAAATCGGCATATTATACTGATTTCTGAAGATCATGTGACACTGAAGACTGGAGTAATGATGCTGAAAATACAGCTTTGATCACAGCAATAAATTGTATTTTACAATATATTTGAATAGAAAAAAGTTATTTTAAATTATAATAATATTTTTGTTTTATTTTTATCATATATATATATATCTATATATATATTTTTTTTTTGATTAAATAAATGCAGCCTTGGTGAGCAAAAGAGACTTTGGAAAACTAACTAACAAACAAACAAAAAAAACTGATAAAATAAAAAAAAGCATAGAAAAATTACTTGACCCAAACTTTTGAACAGTATTATTTTGTGTATTTTGTCCTTCAGTTTGCAAACAATACAAACCAAAACCACATTTACAATAATACATTTACAATGGCATATACACAGATGTGACATATATGTTATATAATAAATGTTTAAAAACAAAGTATTGCCACATTATACTGTAAGTGTTGAAATGAGACAAGTAATCTGGTAACTTTTCTGTAAGTAAGAAGAGCTTTAAAGTAGGTGCAAAATGAGTGCATTACTACTTAAAGTGTATCACTGTAAAGGCGATTTTGTTTTGTTTGAACAAAACTGAAGTGCAAGTCCAAATGATTTTCTATGGTAATGGACAGATCGTCTCACAATCATGTTGACAGAGCTTGCATATTCCTTTAAAGTATGTACTAAGAAAGTGAGAGCCTCAGTAACAGATGACTTCTCGTGAAAAACAGACTCAGTTGTCCTAAGATGTGATATATTATTTATGAGTGCGTTCACTAGTCTTCATTTCATATTTGTGATGAATAAAGTGAGAAGAGCAACCTCTTATACAGTGCTATGTGTGGGCAAGCTGTCACCTGTCAATCAACTAGCAGCACGGGGGAAGTGGGCGGGTGAAAGTGAAAGGAGCGCTGTGATTGGACAGAAGGGGGAGGCCTGACAGAATACCTGGGGTCCTGGATAGCGGGGTCGACACTTGGCTGCCTGTGTCTGGTTCGAGGAGGGAGGGTAAGATACTGGCTGCAACCACAGGGAGTAAAGAACAGAAGTATGGCTGAATGGAGCTATTGAATATGGAGCGATGGAAAGATAGCGAGAGACCGACAGATAAAATGAGAGTGATGTCAAAGAGAAATGAGGAGGAATACGTTGTTTCCTCCTTTCTTGAAATGAAATAAACCTTTCTATAGTTCTCTCTGTGTGGCATGTTTCATCATATTTCTCATGCTGAATTTCAATAATCATGTTAAAGGAAAAGATGAAGGTATGTGGAAACACTCCCATTTATGTTCCCGGTATCAGAAAAGGCAATCTAGAAAACACTAAGACTTTTAAGGGCACAGGAGACACAAGTGCTGTGCATCTTGAGCGTGTTTTGTGAACTCATACCTGTCTGGTGAGTATCTGTCTTCAGACAGGCGATGTCGGGGGCCGTACTGCGAGGGTCCTCCTCTCACACCGTGGTCTAAACTTCGACTGAAGGAGAGGAGAGAAAATGAGAGTCCTGCTACAACAAAAGAGCTCTAATGACACTCCAGCTAGTTTTAATTGTGGGCAGTGTTATAAATACAATTATGTATATACTATTAGTAATTATTATTTTCAATTAACTTTTATTTTATTTTCATTGTTTTTATTCTTAAATAATTTTACGTGCTTTTGATTTAAAAAAATATATAATTAAATTTTATTTCAAGTTATTTTAGTAATTCAAGTATTTTGGTAACACTTTAGTTTAAGGACCAATTCTCACTATTAACTAGTTTATTAGCATGCATATTACTAGCATATTGGCTGTTTATCAGTACTTATAAAGCACATATTAATGCCTTATTCTGCCTGATCATATTCTAGATCCCTTAATCCAACCCCATACCTGAACTTAACAACTACAACAACTACCTTTCTATCAATAAGCAGCCAATTAGGAGTTCATTGAGGGAAAACTATGAACATTATTAACAAAAGCTCAAACAGAATGACAGTAACAAGACAAGACAGATAACAAAAAGAACAAAAAATAGGAATTAACAATATACAAAAAATATTTTAAATGCACAATATACAAAGTAGACAATAGATGGTATTTGTGTGTACAGGTGTGTTACGTATATATGCATGCTAATAAGCAGCTAGTTAATAGTGAATAGAGAACATGGTAAATATTACTAGCAATATAAAAGATATTCTTTTTAATGACCAATTTCCACCCTCTTTCTGGGCTGCTGATCTGATTAATGTAAACGCTCTGCTCACATGTGAAATGAGCAACAGCGCTGTGCTCACTGAACTGTGCTTTTACAAACTGTACAGTTGTACCGCCTATTAAGATCAGCCAGAAACCATCAGAGATATTGTTAAAAATGAACATCAGCCACTAGTTTTTAATGCTGGGTTCCTGGAGCAGCACAACGTTTGGCAAACCGTCCTGATATCTTAAGTTTAGCATTAGTTAAATGCCACCTGGGTGGCAAAGTTGCTGAATTGCAAATAGACATGACTGATAAAAATGTCTTGATGTCAGAAAGCTGAAGGACGAGACGTTTTTGCAGAATTATTTCCATAAATCAGCTTTTTTTTTGGACTGGGGAGGAAGTTTGGAGCATGTTTTATGATATGACCGCTTGACACATAACTAACGGCTCGTACGTGTTTGTACCTTTGTGGTGGAGGGACGCTGGGTGAGCGTGAGCGTGTGCGGGTCACGTCCGATCGGGAACAGTGATTGGACGATATCACCTGCTCCGGGACAGACAGAGTGGAGCTCTGGAAATCCCTGCCATTGTGCCGGTAATCTGAGGAGGCAAACACAGCACAACACATTTACATCAGCATTACATTCACTGAAAAATAGGAATAAAGTAGGACCTAATACAATGGCATTCAGACATTTTTAGGTGGTACTGTATGTGGTCTACCACACTGAACTATTTACAGTGATGCAAAACTAATGCGATCAGTGTGAAATGACGGTGAGGATTTTCCTTGTGCCGAGTCGGGAGACTACAGTTCACAGTAATCTTCTCTCTGACAATATCCTTTAATTTGATTTGTTGATCAGCATGTGTGAACGCACACAAAGACTGAGACAAACTGTACAATCAGACATCGAAAATATCATTGCAGACACAGCTGGCATTTATTCAGATCAGATTATGCATCCTCAAATCAGTGTGCGACATACTTTTACTCAGCAAGAATGCATTAAATTGATCTAAAGTGACAGTGAAGACGTTTATAATGTTACAAAGGATTTCTATTTCAATTAAATGCTGAACTTTGTATTAATCAAAGATGCTTAAAATGCTTGTTTCCACAAAAATATGTATGTTTTCAACATTTTCAGCAGCAAATCAGCATATCAGAATGATTTCTGAAGGATCATGTGACACTGAAGACTGGAGTAATGATGCTGAAAATTCAGATTTGATCACAGATATAAATGACATTTTAAATGATATTGACATAGAAAACTGTTATTTGGAATTGTAATAATATTTCACAATAGTACTGTTTTTACTGTACTTTTGATCAAATAAATGCAGCCTTGGTGAGCAGAAAAGTCTTCTTTCATAAACATAAAAAATGCATTTGATATATAAAAGATTACCGAATTTAATCGAAAAGAAATGAATAAAATGCTTTCAAGGGCGCTCAAGTGTTCAGTTTTGTAAGTAGAGAGCGGCGCTAAAGCAGGGAGAGGTGACTTAGCTGTACCTGAGATAACACCAATCCCGTCTTCACCGTCGTAATCAGAGAACTCGCTGTCACTGATTCTCTGTGACCCTGAGAGAGAGAGAGAGAGAGAGAGAAACTGACCTAAAAAGTAAAAGACCTGATATTGTGACATTGAATACAATGAATATAAAGAAAAGAAAATTAATCCACAAAATGAAAAAAAAGGAGAGTTGCGAGATAAAAAAAAGCCAAATTGCGAGATAAAAAGACTTCCACAGGGACATTCTAATATTGACCTAAACAAACTGACACATATCATTTAGAAATGTTTTTGATTTGAATTACATATTAATGAATGTTGAAATTAACATTACCAATGACAAATACTTGCAAACCATTTATTAATCTTAGTTTATGTTATCGTAGTTAACTAATAATAGTGTAAAGTGTTACAGTGAATAAATACTGTGCATTACTACTAGATATCGATGTTAACACTTCATCAAGACATTTTTTAATGTGCAAACACGCTGTCAGTTCAAAAGAAGCTTAAATAAATAAAATAATGACATACAAATACTATGAAACAATCAAACTAAAAATGCTTTCATACTACAGCTGTTACTGGAGACCTGAGAATATTTGACATGAAAAACTATTTCCATGCTGACACAGCTTGTGGAAGATGACGGATAATTTGCATGTACGTCCTAATGCACTTGTCATTCCTGCTTCACATTGACAACACACTGTGTTCAGACTCATAACATACTGTGGTTCAGACTCAAATAATACAAACGAGACCAGTGTGAGCAGAACCAAGCGTCGTGAGGTTTGCTATCATTTAGTCTGAAATCAAAACAGCGAAACACAGCAAACATCAACCACAGAAAGGTTTGAGAGAGGCTGGGAGAAGCGTGAACAGGCCACACACAGATCTGCTCAGGAAGGGCTATTGACTAGGCGGATTTTATATGTATTTGCAACAATGAAGATCAGGCCAAAATGGGCAGATAAGCTGTAAAATGAGGACTGGTGGCATGTAGCAGCAGTGATGGGTGTTATCCCCATGCAGGCTGTGAGGGACAGTGTGGTTTCTGAAGAGCATGAGGCAGAAGTGAGGGGAGAGCACACTTTGAGAGTGCGGAGGAGAGTCAAATCACACTGCTGGCCAATCACACGCTAGCTGGAGCAAGCAGGGCAAAGTTACCTGAGTTGTAAAAATACGGGCCCTTGTCTGGAAATGTGTCAGTGGTGGATAGACAGTGATATTTTTTGAAGGAAACAAAACATGAAAACAAGAAACATATCAACAAAAACCAACATACATAAAATGTGATGTCCAGATTGATATTTTGATATCAGTTCTGGACATGAAAATAATACAGGAAATAAAGTGTCATATTATGATTTTTTAAATTCAATTCCAAAAAGGTGAGGTTCTTTCAATTTTAAACAGAAAATATAGACTACCGTTCAAAAGTTTGAGGTCAGTTTTTTTTTTCAAGGATGCATTAAATTCATCAAAAGTGACAGTAAAGACATTTATAATGTTGCAGAAGATTTCTAATTCAAATAAATGCTGTTCTTTTGAACTTTCTATTCATCAAAGAATCCTAAAAAAATGTTTCCACAAAACATTAAGCAGCTAAACAAATTTTTAAACATTGATAATAATCAGAAATGTTTTTTTTAGCAGCAAATCAGCATATTATACTGATTTCTGAAGGATCATGTGACACTGAAGACTGGAGTAATGATGCTGAAAACACAGCTTTGATCACAGGAATAAATTACATTTTATAATATATTAAAATAAAAAAACTGTTATTTGAAATTATAATAATATTTCACAATATTACCATTTTTACTGTATTTTTGATTAAATAAATACAGCTTTGGTGAGCAGAAGTGACTTCTTTCAAAAAATCTTACAGACCAAAAACTTTTGAATAGTATGTGTGTGTTTTGCATATTTACATGTAATACAGTGTAATTCATAAATGATTTTATAAATTGCACAAATGGTAAATCAAACACAAAATTATAATGAATGATTGACGTAAAAATCACACAGAAGTCGCTTTCCACATATAAAAGTGGCCCTGAATTTGTTTGAAAACATGATTCAATGTGATTTTTGCTGTTCACACAGTGAGGGAGAAATCAGATTGAGATCACATTTACTATTAGTAAGTTACAAAAGGTACTAATATGTACACTTTAGGTACTAATATGTACTTTGAAAAGTACTAATATGTACCTTCAAGGTACTAATACGCACCATTTGGGGTAAATATGGTATAAAGATGCTTTTGTACCTTAGGGCCCCGCCCCAGTGACAGCTTAGTACTTTTTTTTCAGAGAGTGTATGTTTACTGTAACAGTAGGTGTGTGTGTTGTACGTACTCTGCAGCCTGCGTGTGGGGCTCTCTCCGTGCAGGAGGCGTCTCTGCATGCAGGGCGAGGGGTTCGGCAGTGGCATGGAGGACAGGTCGTGTGTTTGGAGCTTATACCAGTGAGGCTGATCGTCCACCAGTGCCGTCTCCAGCTCGATCAGAATCTACACACACACATCCGTTTATGACGACTTATGGTGTTTTATGAGCTTAAAGGGGTCATCGGATGCCCATTTTCCACAAGTTGATATGATTCTTTAGTGTCTGAATGAAAAGTCTGTAACATAGTTTGGTTAAAATTTCTCAATGGTAGTGTAAAAAACACCTTTTTTTACCCTGTCAAAAACAGCTGTTTTCAGAGCGAGCCGTTTTGTAGCATTTTCCTTTAAATGTTAATGAGCTCTGCTGACTCCGCCCCTCTCTTCCAAGCCGCAGTCAGAGAAACTGTTTACTTTAGCCGCATTCATCGTGAAACTTGCTAATTAGCACATTATTAGGAAAGGTGACTTGCAAAGATTCATTAAAAAACATTATACTCACTTCTTCTGTAGGTGAAGCTGGATCACGAATGATTCGCGCGAACATAGACGCATTTAGGCAGATCGGGGGCGCATTCCCTTCAGAAACAATGTAATCCACTGCGTCTTCAGCGGCTCAGATGTCGGGAGTAAATGACGACTGCTGTTCATTATTACATACAACAATAGAACACCTCAATCGCGTAAGAGTCATTCTTGTCTACATCTGCTCCGGCGGTGAAACAATGGCGGACTGATGACAGTCACTCAGGGCGGAGCTAAGGTAAGACACCAGTCCAGTCTGTGCTGAAACGCTACTGTCAATCAAACTATCGTGGGAGGGGCCTGTCTGTGTGACGTCACACAGACAGGCATCTGAGATCGGCTCGAATTGAGAAAGTGGAAAACATTTAACCAGATTAAAATAAAAACACTGGGTGGATTTTTATCATTATAGGGTGGTTGTGTACACACACTGCCAACACACATTTCAGTTCAAACAACTTGTAAAAGTGCATGTAGCATCCGATGACCCCTTTAAGGTTTAACTCAAATGTGGAATATTTCTTGCATTAAAAAAAAGAAAAGAAAAGCTTCAAGTAAGCCTTTGCCAAGGAAGTCACATAACTGATTTTAAACTCAAAACTTATATTCCACAGCTCTCTTGCATCACACTGAGTGAATATTGTGAGATGTTTGTGGCATTATTAGAGACGTGCAGCAGGACGGTGTCTGTCTCTCTCTCACCTCTCCCAGGAACTCGCTCTCCTCCTCTCGGACTCTGGCCTGGTCCCACAGCGTGATCTCCAGCATGCGCTCCCTGAACTCTCGTCTGTGCACCGGCGAGTACATGAACGTCTGGTTCCACTTGGGCTCCAGAGATTTCTTCACTGTTTTCGTTCTCCTCTTGCTTTTATCGCTGAGAAGAGCAGATGAGTTCATCATTTTACAGCTGCTGATGTGACCGTACAGACCCACAGAGACAATAAACCAATCCAAGGACCCCCGATTTGAAACTTTGCATTAAAAGCAAATATTATTACACACAATTATTCATTCATTCATAGATTTTTTTCAGATATGAATTTTCGTTTCTTACTTACAAATGGAATTTACATCTATTATTATTTTATTATCTGGGTTGCAGAATATTTCACATGCATGTCCCCCAAGTTAAAATCCTTTCTGTAAATGGAGGATTTTGAGGATTTCACTAGCTTTTGAATTCTTGGTTATTAAAGTTTGCTGTTTTTCAATGGGTTTACTATAAATTTGATGATTAAGTAATTACGATTTTGCTCACTGTGGATAGACGCACAAACATACCATATATCTGCACTTTACCTCTTGAAATTTCTGCTTTGAGGATTCTCCAACCTTTTATTGTTCTGTTTTAGAGTCTTCAATATTGTGTGCTTTGCTATTACCAATACAAAAGCAACCACTGATGCTATTACAATAATGCTGCTGCTGTTTTCAACCGCCCCAACCCCCCAAAATAACAATATTAATAAAAATTAGGGATGCACCGATACCGATACCAGTTTACCGATTACCACAAAATACATTTAGGTTTGACTGTATCTATTTGATAAATTAAGTTAACCAACTAACATTATACATACTCTTTTGGTTTCTGTATCCAATATTTAAAAAATTTACAAATGCAATGAAAATATTGGTATCTGTACTCGGTATCGGCAAGTACCAAAAATAAAAGTATCGGTATCGGGCGAGTACTGGAAAAAGTGGTATCGGTGCATCCCTAATAAAAATAGAATCAATATATTTAGACACACTTTCAAATACAACTGAAATTATTTTGATATGAATATACATTATTTTATTTTAGAAAATGTTGCATTTTTAATTAGAATGACATGAAATTACATAAAAAATTTAACTGTCTGTTCTTTTGAAATTTCTATTCATTAAAGAATAGAAATATAAAAAAATATTATACTGGTTTCTGAAGGATCATGTGACACTGAAGACTGGAGTAATGATGCTGAAAATTCAGCTTTGCATCACAGAAATTACATTTAAAATATATTCAAAAAGAAACCAGTTATTTTCAGTTATAATAATATTTCACAATATTACTGTTTTATTGTGTTTTTGATCAAATAAATCAATAAATTACAGCTTTGGTGAACATAAGAGAATTCGGTAACACTTTATTTTAGGGTCTATTAACTAGTTGCTTATTAGCATGCATATTACTAGAATATTAGCCACTTATTAGTACTAACTAAGCACATGTTAATGCCTTATTCTACATGACCTTATTCAACATCTCTAATCCAATCCCATTACCTAAACTTAACAACTACCTTACTAACTATTAATAAGCAGCAAATTAGGAATTTATTGAGGGAAAGTCATAGTTAATAGTGAATAAGTGTTCCCTATTCTAAAGTGTTACCAAGAATTATTTCAGAAACAAAAAGATTATACCGATCGCAAACTTTTGAACAGTACTGTTAGCTTTGCTCACAAAGGATGCCATTAGAGATTATAATTTAAAATCCTTACAAAAACTGGATATATCTGACGTGCACGCACCTTCTGTCGGGGAGGAAGTAGATTTTGACGTATGGATTCCTGGGTCGCCCGTCTTCTCGTGAAGGCAGGTCTTTGGCGCCCAGGATAGTGACGATGAGCTGATGTCCTACTTTATCGTACCACAGCTTGACCTGCAGGAAGAGACGGGCTCTGTTAGAAGGTCTGTGAGGAGAGCTCACCCCAGAAGGTCCAGGGCAGACCTGCAGAGCCCCTTATCCAATGTGTGCAGCATCACATGCTTGGCAGATCTTTCCCAGCACCAGCACACAGCAACTACATCAAGCTCACTAACTCCTCAGCCTCTAATCATCAGCTAAATTCACCACTAAAACAAACACCAAATTCAACTACTGCTAAGCACTGAATCACATAGTTTGACACTACAGTGTTTAAGGGGTCAGAGTTTATGTTGCACTTAATATTCTACGTAAACTTCATTACTACAGACAATAATTTTGACTTGTATCTCAGTTTGTAATTTATTTATTTATTTTACAGTACTGCAATGACTATAGGGCAAGGCAATGTACCAGGATAAATTATAAAACATTACTATTTTGCAGTGTTGTTATTGTCAACTAAAACTAAAATAAAAACTGTTATAAAATAGAAAAGTGCATCAAATAAAATAATTATTAGTATATATATATATATATATATATATAATATTACAATTAAAACTTAAAAAAAGAAAAGAAAAATAGCACTGACATCAAATTAAAATAACATTTTAAGTTGAAGTTTAGGGTGACGTACTAAAATATAAAACATTTTTAAAAAATCATGTAAACATAATAAAAGTATAATAAAAAAAGAAAATATAAATATAACAAAATTATAATAATATATGACAAAAGCACATAACAACATTTGTAAAACTTAAACTAAAATTAAAATAACAAAATTAAAGGCAATTCAAAATGACAATAAATACTGGAGTTTCATGCAATGTCTTCATTTATGCTGACAATTTACATAAACATTGTTTTACAAATGGTTTACACATATAAGGTCATGCTTGTTTCAATCTTGCCCAATACAGCTAATTCTCAAAAGGATCCCAATAATGTTAATGTGGTTTTACTTTTATTTTACAAACTGAGGGACGAGTTTCTGGAATAACTGGCAGTATGCCACAGATGGACAAACTGGAAGACTGCAGGAAGGTTATGAAATATGGAGCACAAAAATACTCTGAATAAATGAATCATGAAATAATCCAATTCATCCAAAAATAAATGTAATAATTTATTTTGAAATAAATCAAAAGTTGAATGTACTTAATTGAATAAAAATTAAATGAAAAGTTACATGTACATATATATATTTTTTTTAATAATTCAATCAGTGTTAATTATTTAAATGTGCCTATTTATTTATTAAATAAATAAGTTTGTTGTTTGTAATATTTTGACAAAATTGTAATAACATTCACAATTTATTCTGTAATGTAATTATATATTTGCTGTATATTTTTCACATACAAAATCGTATTTCTAAATCAATAAATTGAATAATACTAGCTTTAATTTCCGAATGACATTTTTATTTATTTCATGTTGAGCACTTCTTAAGTGTTCATTGATAGAAATTCTCAGTCTTCCCAGCATTTGCCCTGCCAGATCACCAGAGCTGAAAGAAACACACGTCTATAATGCACCTTTAGAGAGAACTTGCTATTCTAGATACATACTGCAGTACTAATGCATGCAGCAAAGCAACAGAAAGAGCTCAATACAGACTAGAGCAATCCAGGTAGCTTCCATTGCAAAAACAGCAGGGGGAAGGCTTCAGTCCAAACAAATTGTACCGTTTGATTCTTCTACAGACGCATCGAGGTCTGTGCTTTTATTAGTTGACTGCATCAGGAAACAGTATAAAATCCATTTTCATCTAAAACTCCATTTTCAAAAACTATAGCAACAACCATTGGAGTTTATTATTGCAGTTAAATGGGAGATCCCTCATGTTGTTCCAAACCCATATTACTTTTTTCTCTGTGGAACAGAAATAAATTATTATTAAAATAAATATTGTTAAAATTGTATATAAATATATATATATATATATATATATATATATAATTTTTTTTTTCTTTTATTAAAATGTCCCACCACCTACCACATTAAGACTGCAGGTTTTATGTCAATGATATTTTGCCAAGTTTTGCGTTCCACATAAGAAAGAAAGTCATACAGGTTTGCCTAAACAGTCATTGGTACAATTTGTTTATTATCTGTGAGGTTTAGAGAAATGTTCTACATTGGAAAATGCAATATTATCTTGAAAGTGTGGTAATTAACATACTGTGTCTCTTCATTGCAACACAGAACATAATATTTGATAGTACTGATCCAAACCGGGCTTCATTTGTTCTAAAAATAATACATTCATTAAATTTAAATGTAGTAAAACATATGCATTTCATACAAACTATTTTTTATACAATATAATACAAATATAACGTTCCATGTTACATGACAAAGATGACAAAAATGTCTCTCTAAAAAAAAAAAATCTGTTTAAAATTGAAAGAGACTTCATTTAATAAACGATGCTAAAATCATGCCACATTTAAAAAGAGAATCAAATAAATGGTATATAATTCATTCAGAATATTTCAGCCTCAGCAAGATGGCCGTTCAATTAATTAAGCCAAATTCATACTGCAATAATGAAACAGCTCTCATGAATTGTGGTTATAAATCGCAAGGGCGATGACGTATAACTTTAGGGGAAAAAATACAATCTGAACAAAAGAGCAAAGGGGGAGAAACTTGGAATGCTGCCGTTTTCCTGCAGTGCATTTTCCAAATAACACAGAGAGAGAGAGAGAGAGTAATGAAGGATTGAGAAAGACTGCCAGAAATGAAAGAAAAGATTAAAAAGAGACTGAGCAGAGGAAGAGAGAGAAGTCTGACGATGTTACCTGGACCCTAGGGACAAAAGGCGTGGTTCTTCTACTAAGGCATGGACTCTGGATAAGCAAAATTAACAAGAAAACAAAAGCAAAACAACTAAAGCAAAACTGCACAGAGGCACACAAATCAAAACAACCCATCTGAGAAGAGATTTAGCCTAACTGAGTGACGTAACTTATTCATTTCCTCAAATATTAGCAGAATCTTACAGCTGAAATAACCTGAAGTGTGTCAAAACATACTTCATAATGCAGCATAAGTATTATATCCACAGCGACACATCAACACACTTTAACATGTAGTTTTTAAAATAAAAAAATATGTATTTAAAAAAAAAAACTGCCACATTAAGATGCATCACTGCAGGTTTTATGTCAATGTAGGGCTGATTAATCGCGATTAATTGCATCCAAAATAAAAGTTTGTTTATTATTCTTACTATTATTATTACTACATATGTTTCTTAAATATATGCATGCATGTGTGTGCATTTATACATATAAATACAGTACACACACACATATATTATGTAAACACGAAGGTTTATTTTGGATGCAATTAATCGCTTTTACAGCCCTATGCCAATGATATAACATACTGAATCTCTTCATTGTATCAAAGAACATTATATTTAATAGTACTGATCCAGACTGAACCTCTTGAATGCTTTTTTTTCTTCAGAAATTGTACTAATTGTACTAACTAGGAAGACATATGGGCAACACTTCATATACATTATTCAAGTACTTATAAATCATTTGCAAGCTATTAGCTTATAGTTAATTCATAGTTTATAAATTGTAGTTTCTACATTGTTAGTACATTAATAGGTTATGTACAAATAGGGAGTTCTTCATTCACGGTCACTGTAATTTACAAATGATAATTGTTTAATTAGCTAACAAAGAGTTAAATAATGTGTTTTTATCCTTTGTTTTCTACTCATTGTATCCTAACGCTAACTGATGTATTTTAATGCGATCTCATGAGTAGCTGTATGTATTTTATGAAACATTCATTTACTTTTGTTTGCATTGAGATGAAAACATACAAAATATACGTATTTACTGTCATTGTACATTTTTTTCATATTTTTTTGTAAAAGTGGTTAGGTTTAGGATTGTGAATAAATAAATAAATAAATAAAAAGGTCACAAAAGCATCCAAAAGTTAATAATTTATAGTAAAGAAACTTTATGTGTAATATTTATGTGCAAAGTGCACTGATGTATGCCTAATATATTTGTAGACATTTTAGGAGCACTTAGTATTAATGCAATTCATGTCTAATAAAGGTAGGCCATTGCCTTTAATCAAGTATTTTCTGTGACCTAATCTAAAGTGAGAACTATTTACTCCTGATAACCATTAACAACTCCTTTACTCCTGGTTTAAATACTGCACATCAATATGCTTTGTGTTGTTAACAAACGATAATAAAACATTACAGTGGGGCAAAAAAGTATTTAGTCAGCCACCAATTGTGCAAGTTCTCCCACTTAAAAAGATGAGAGAGGCCTGTAATTTCTGTGTGTGTGTGTGTGTGTATAAACTATTCTGACTTCAATATTTTAGGATAAATCTCCCTCATTCCAAACAAAAAGAAATCAAATTTACGACAGCGCAAACCATAGTGAGACACTAAAAGCATCACCCGGACAGAAGAACAGACACACTTCAGTGCAAAAACAGAAAAAGCACATACATTGTTATTATTATTAAACAGCATTTCCTTTTTAAACACAATCTCTCCACATTTAGCATGTTCACAGTCGTCGCTACAGCTCGTTTCCTTATTAAACAATTAAAAGGCACAATAATGGCTAATCTGCATCCATGCCTGAAGCACTTTACTGTACTGTATGGACACCTGGGTCAAACTTACCTCGCAGACGTCTTAGACACTGATAATGCAAACGGTGTAAATTATTGAAACGCTAAACGGCAGTAAAGATCGTGTCTGATCGTTCAAGTAAACGCAACAACTTCAGCACAAAGTACAATAGCTAGTCTTTCAAGGGAGTGTGTTTTCCTAACATCCTGATCAGCAGCGCCGTGTCAGAGCCGACCTGCAGAGTCTACGTCAATCGGGTAACAAGCTTGAAAACTAAGAATACTTTTTTTCCGTGTCGGGATCCTTTCCTGGACTCAAGCTGGTCTGTGACAGACGCCGTCTAGCACTGACACACAACTGTCTAGAATCGCAAAACACACCGGACTGGCAAACGTCAGTTTAACAAATGTAAGATGATGTGCCATTTTACTGTCCGCTATATATTTGAAATAATTTCAAATATCTTAAGATTATGCTCATTTAACTTCAGAACACTCACATTCAAATTACATTCTAATGCTTGTGGCATTCAGCATTCCACTAAACCTGTCAAAATCAAGTATCAAAATGAACGAAGTGAATAGAAATACAATTTAAATGCACTGGCACAACCTAATTAGTGTGTATTTTCAAAACAGACTGGTCGTTAATTTATATAATTGTGCTAGTCATTTTATATGAATAAAATAGTGTTAATACCGAGTCCTTTGGAGTGACTCGCTATCTATTTCTAATTATGAAATCTGATGAGAATCCTCAAACATTTTGTTAATTAGGACACCAACAGCAAGTAAATAAGGCATTTTTATGCTTGTAAATTAGGATGAGGGAGAGTTTTAACTCCTACAATTAATAAAATGTGTAATGTTTATGTCCCTGTGAAATATCTGTACTTTTAAAAACGAATTAGTCACACTGGAGGACCATTTCAATTAACCAGTGAAATAATATACAGATATATATATATATATATATATATATATATATATATATATGTGTGTGTGTGTGTAAACATAATCTGTCTGCTTCTAAATAAACTACTGTTCAAAAGTTTGGTGTCGGTAATATTTTTTAGTCTCTTATGTTCACCAAGGCTACATTTATTTGATCAAAAATACAGTAAAACCGAAATACTGTGAAATATCATTACAGTTCGAAAGAACTGTTTGAACATACGCTAAAATGTAATTTATTCCTGTGATCAAATTCTAATATGCAGATTTGCTGCTCAAGAAATATTTATCATTGTTAATGTTGAAAACAGCTTATAATTCTGGATTCTTTAACGAATCGCAATCTCAAAAGAACAGCATTTATTTGATTTATTTATTTGCATATTTTGTAACATAATAAATGTAGTTACTGCCATTTTTGATCAATTTAATGCATCCTTGCTGAATAAAAGTATGAATTTCTTATAAAAAAAAAAAGAATAAAAAATCTTACCGACCCTAAACTTTTGAACAGTAGTATAAATTATAACTTACATTTTTAATGTAAAAAAAATAATCCATGTCCATTTGTCAGCTTTGCACAAGCTCTTTTATATCATCTTATCTACAACTCTAACACTTTGGCCTTTAGATCTGAGCTGATCTCTGTGTGAATGAACAGTGAGTGCTGGCAAACTCCCTGAAGACACAGTGAAATAATCGCTAAACCTCAAAGCTAGCGCCATTTCATCAGTGAAGCCCTGAGTCGAGCGGCCAACGAAAAGAAGTGCAGATGCTGGTACTCACTGAAAGCTGTCCGGACAGATACTGAGGGTTGTCCCGGAGCATGCCAGGACTCATGGGGGACGTGACAGAGATGGACGGGCCCATTTTTTGAGATTCAAAGGAACTTGAACCTGAAAAATAGGCGAAGAGCGTTTAGATCGATCCTCCTGCTGGCAAAGGCAGTGCTAAAGTATGTTTTATATGTCAAAACTAGCTAAACTTACTTGATTCAAGTTGTCCATGTGTGCTCTCTGGTATTCTAGGGACATCTCTACAAGAAAAAAGTGAAGAGCATTTTAATGATAGCAGGTGTGTGTCTGTAAAAACAAAAACAACAAAAAACACTCAAGAGCATCCCAGCCATATGCCAGAAGGTAATATGGCTGGGTGAAATACTGTAGCTAAAATGTAAGGTTTTGAATGAATTTAAATATAAATTCTGATATTTATTTATATTCTCTGAAATGGTTTTAAACAATCATTTCAACCAAACAGCCATTGTTGCCAAGAAGATTAACACATTTTAAATCAAGAAGTAAAATACAGTAAAGGTAATCAAAAATAATTAAGATTTTCTATAAATTAACATGTGAAATAATTAATCATTTTCATTTATATACACTGTTATAAACAGCAATATTTACATACACAACCAGTCAGAAGTTTGGAATGGTTAAGATTTTTTGTTGTTTTTGAAAGAAGTCTCTTATGCTCACCAATGTGGTTTCCACAAAAATATGAAGCAGCACAGCTGTTTTCAACACTACACCTAATAATAATAATAATAATCATGTTTCTTGAGCAGCAAATCAGCATATTATACTGATTTCTGAAGGATCATGTGACTCTGAAGACTGGAGTAATGATGCTGAAAATTCAGCTTTGATCACAGGAATACATTACAGTTTAACATATATTATAATAGAAAACACTTATTTTAAATTGTAATAATATTTCACAATATTACTGTTCATACTGTATTTTTGATCAAATAAATGCAGCCTTAGTAAGCGACTTCTCAAAACCATTGAACTGTAATTATTCCAAACTTTTGACTGGTAGTCTAAATGGTGTATATTTTGACTAAAGCATGAGAAGTGACACATGGGAACATTTTGGGTGATTATAAGGAGTGCTTCAATTTTTAAGAGATTCATTGAATCAAAAATGTATCAAACTTCCAAAACCTTGTTTGCACTTTTGCTGCTGAGAATAAAATCTGAGATGACATTAAAGTATCTTAAAGAGGTCATATGATGCGATTTCAATTCTTCCTTTCTCTTTGGAGTGTTACAAGTATTTTGTTTTCAGAATTGTGATTTGTTCTGCACCGCTCGGCCACCGTAGAACAGGGTCACATCACAGGAGAGTGAACTGTCTGTCAGAAATCATAACACGTCAGCTGTCTTAACCGCGGCTTGTGTACTGCATCATCACTGTGTCCGTCATGCGACTCTGTTGCCCTTTCGGGCTTGAACGACATTATTAACTGTCTTTACATTTACTTTGAAAGCTGAAGCTCGCGATTATGGTAAGGGGCGTTTCATTTCTGACGAGTGCTTGCGGTGTTCGGCCAATCACAATGCACTGGGTCAGCTGGCCAATCAGAGCAGACTGCGCTTGTCGGAAGGAGGGGCTTTGTTGAAAACGAAGCGTTTGAGAGAGGCGGGGCATAGAGGACCTACAATAATGTACAGTATTTGAAAAATAATGTGTTTTTTGAACATTAAAGCATGTCAACATATTCTGTTACCCCAAATACACAAAATAATGATCTTTAAAATAGCATCATATGACCCCTTTAAAGACAGAAGAAGCAAGCGCAGAATTGGCTTGGCAAGGAAATATAATTGCCAAAAAAAAGCATTCAAATATTCACATCGTTAAAGGCACAATATGCAAGATTTTTGTAATAAAATATCCAAAAACCACTTGCACAGTGTGATATATTTCATGCAGCTGTTTACTTACATTATTCCAAAAGTTCCCAAGGATTTGTAATTCCAGAGAAATTGAAATTTTACATTTTACATTTTATGGCTCGTCCCTGTTAATCGTCGCCAATCAATGACGCAATATCCGCACTATCCTCGGTTTCTGCTTATGGATACTATGGCAACACACGTGGACAAATGCGGAAGTGGTAGTTACACAGCATGTAGCGCGCCGCTGTTGTGTATTTCAGTTATCATGTATCACGATTATTCATTGGCGAGTACAGAAAAAAAAACGTAAACGTAAACGTAGACCAACTGAGACAAGAAGGATCAATATCGGTGTGCGATTCCGAGATGGACAGAGCTTCGCGACTAACTCGGACTTGCCAGAGATATTATTTGCTGTACAAGTAATAGTCATGTACAGGTGATTTTAATAGATATGAATGAAGTTACCCGTGAACATGATTTGTGAAAACCACATCTCCCATCGTTCCACGCTCCGTCATAGCATCATCAAGCTTCACCTCTGTTATTGTTTTGAAAATGCGACCTCTAGCGACAAAAACTTACATATTGTGCCTTTAAGTGATTTTACTGTATACTGCTGTCAAAATAATATCACTGATATCTACAGTATATCACTGATATATTGCCCAGATCTTCAAGGTTAACCTGAACATCTGACCTTCTTGGTGCTAGACTCTCAATGGTTTTCATTTTGAAAGTAACAAACAATAATTTCTAATTATGTCAATCTGTCCTCCTAAAGAACTGACCTGAAGCAGAACTGTCATTTTAAGCAGTGAACAAGTTGAAGTTTCTACCTGTGTTTGTGTGTGTGAATATAAGCATTCATATATTGGGCTCCCACAGGCTATCACTCTTCATAAAGCTCTACTGTCAAAGAAAATGTGCTCTGTGTCCCTGAACTGACACGTTGAGTATTGGGCAGAGTAATGATCCATCACCCGCTTCACTCACCCGATGGGCCGTGAGACCACCAGCTCCACCTGCGGCTCTGGCTTGGATTCTAGAATGATATTGTAAACTTCCTTGAATGTGGCTCCCTGTAAGACCCTCCCGTTCCACTCCAGGACCTGATCGCCTGAGGACCGACACAACACAGCATCAATACGACATCAAATATGATATAGCTGCACTTAAACCAGCGTTAGTTAAAGGGTTAGTTCACCCAACAATTAAAATTCTGTCATCATTTACTCGCGCGCATGTTGTTCCAGAACCATAAGACTTTAATGCATCATCGAAACACAAATGCAGATATTTTTAATGAAACCTGAGACTTCTGTCCCTCCACTGAAAGTTCATGCAACTAAAACTTTGAGGCTTCAAAAAGTTCATAAAGGTACCGTAAAACTAATTAATTTATATTCTGGCAGATGCTTTTATCCAAAGTGACTAACATTACATTCAAGACACAGTTTTTGCCTTCCCTGGGAATCAAACCTATGACTTCAGCGTAATGCTCTACTGTTTGAACTCTGGAAAGCTTAAAATCCATATAAATCCAATATGAACGGTTTAATTCAAACACAAATTATGATATATTTAATGAAAAGAAATGACTGTCCCTCCATTGAAAGTCCATTCCACCAAAACTTTCAAACTTCAAAAAAGTTCATTTAGACACTGTAAAAGTAATCCATATGAGGGTGACAGAATTTCCATTTTTGAGTGAACCTACCCTTTAAGTTTAAAACACGTAGAAAGGACCCTCTTTATAGTAAGGGTCCTTAACTACTATGTACTTGCATTTAAATTAAAGATTTGATACAATGCACTTATTGTGTACATACATTTTTTCTTATATAGTACTTATATTTGAAAATACCATCCTGTAATTCATTTCTGTAGGTACATCTATAATTACACTCTTAACTCAACGCATTAAACCTAACCAGTTCACCAAACCTAACCCGTATCCCCATCAATAGCAGCAGAGGTGATTTGCAATTCAACGTGAACACAATATGTACATTGTACCTAACAATTCATTACTTTATTATTAAGTACACAGTATTTAAAGACACCTAATATAAAGTGGGACCTAAAAACTTTTACCCATATACTGTACAGAATCCCATAATTCAGCGGGATCACAGAAGCAGCAGCTCTGACTTCACATGGTCTCAGAGCAAATGCTTTTACGCCTTCCACAGTCTAAAGCGAGTTGAAAGAAATGTGTTTAATTGTTAAATCTGAATAGATTCAGGTGTTCACCTGGTCGGAGATGGCCGACAGTGTCTGCAAGACTTCCTCTCTTCACCTTCGTAATGAAAGCACAAAGTCTGCCAGACTCTGTCATCTTCCCTCCCACCACCTGCAATACAGACAACAGGCAATGCTAATTATTTCAAATATCTTTTACATGAAACTACAGTGTGTTCAATACAAAGGGCCTGAAAGGTGGAATTTAAATGCTGAATGTTTGACCTGTGCTATGGAGAAAGGACGAAGTTCCACATCAATATCATGTGTGCTAATACTATGGGTCATGTTCACTAAGAATGATCAGGGATTGCTGATAGTGTTATTTACAGTATTTGCACGCATTATTTTAACACCCCACTTACTAAAGGAATCATGCAAATCAAGCAACTCAGCAAATGCACCCACAAAATTAATACGAAGCACAGTTTGCACAAGACATAGTGCTCTCTATTCACAGAAATGTACTCAGATAATGGCTGGAAGACAGCGAGTGGGCAAACTTTCAGGAACTAAAGCACACCAGCACAAATGGTGCCTTAATTTAGCCTTTTGTTTTAAGTGTAAAGGACCATCAGTAACCAACTTATAATACAAGAACTTGGTTACACTTTATTTTAAGGTGTCCTTGTTACAGTGCAATAAAAAAATTAACTACATGTACTTATTAGGGTTGTGACGGTGTGGAAATTTTCCCACCGGTTAATCGACGTGTGACAACACCGGTAATACCGGTATCACCGCGGGGGCTCGCTTTCCTTTGCTTTTAAATAGCTTGTAAAAGCAGCGTGCGCATTTTACTATCACTTTCAAATAGCGGCAATTCGGCATAAAGCAATTGTTCGTTTTTAGTTGGTTTGAATTTCCCCTCTTTTCCTCGCTTTCCTTCGCTTTTAAATAGCTTAAAAGTGCCGTGCGCATTTTACTTTCACTTTCGAATTAGCGGCAGTTCGGCGTCAATTGCTTGAATGCAACAACAAAATACAACGTCAAACTCACTTTAGCATACTAAACTCACTTTTAGAACTAAATTATTTTTATTAGGCTACTACAAAAAATCAAAACGACGGTGGGGGTCGGTGCCGCGGTGGGCAAGTGACGTAACCGGTGTTGTGGCTTAACACCGGTATCACCGTCAGCACCGTCTATCATGGCAAGCCTAGTACTACTATGTGGTTAGGGTTAGGATTAGGGTTTGAAAAATACACCATGCTATAGGGCAAGCTATGCCTAATATAAAATAACAAATAACTTACGTAAAGTTTAAATAGGTATACAAAACTGGAAATAGGCTAAGTAAACATGTATAATATATAAGCAAATAAATAAGAAACATAGAACGTTTATTCGCAAATGAGTAAGAAAGTTTGGAGGCACGGCGTACACCTTGATGTCAAATAAAATAAATAAATGACACAAAGTTTAAATAAAGTAAAAATCAGCAAACACTGTGGAAATAATTAAATAAGAAACAAATGTTTAAAAAAACTTCCAAAATCAGCTTAGATAAACGGCAAAAGTCAACAGGCTTTTCAAAATCCAAAATATTGACAAACAGGCGTTTTTGCATTTCGTTTGAAAACTAAATCATCCGCCATCGTCTTGTCTGTCTCACCTCGCTCTTCTTGTCAGTCAGCTCGACTCGCTCTCCTCACTGGAGAAATTAAA